TTGATGAAAAGGACATTTTCTGAAGAATATTACAAATTACAGGTGCTAAACTTATAATTTCCTGCTTTAACCAAATACAAATATTGCAGACTTTACCAAACTTGTATTAACTGCAAGACTGTTTCATCACAGTGCATACACATTTTTACTTCTTCATACCTCCCCATCTTATTTCTTCTTTTCTTTACATCTGTTTTCTATGTCACCTCCATCTCCATGTGAGGTACACACAGATCTTGCTTCTCTCATGCATACACACTGCTCCTGCTCCCAGCTGCACTGATGAAGCCATCACTGTCTGTCTGCATCCTCAGTCAGTTGTCTGAATGTTGCTCAGGCAAGACTTACAGAATTACATTCATCTACTGTGGTAATTGTCTATCTTCTCTGTCTGCTTTTTGATCTCTACATCTCACCATCTCTCTCCGTGTCTGTTTCTCTCTGCACGTTCCATATCATTTCTCTCCCTCTAAACGACTTGTGCAGCACAACGGTTTTATTTATAGAGCTAATTAAAACTGGAAGAAAAGTCTGAGCTTTGGTGGAAAATGCATCTTAAAAAAGCAAAATTGTTGTACCTTTTTTAATCCTGAAGGTCTGCAAGAGCTGTAAACTGTTTGTCATGTCAGGTAGATAGATTGTATTTGATCTGAGAGAAACAGGAAGTAAAGGATGAAGAAAGAAAGATGGAGATGGTAGGAGCTGAAGCACGAAGGAAAGGGCAAGAGAGAAGGAGAAAGAAAGCTTGAGCAAGGGGGAGTGAATATTTTCTTAATTTTGTAAAAGTGTTCTTTGGAGTTCCTGGAGAGCAGGCAGCAGGTAAATGACATCTGCAGGAGCGGGATGAGATTAAGCAAAGGAAGAAGAGGAAGTAAAAACTAAGTAACTACACAATGCAATTGCTTTTGCACAGTCAGAGTCAATTTTAACTTTATGCGACTCAGATCTTTGGAGTGGAGAGCATGATTTTAGTCTAGGTACTCAGCTAATCATTGTGCTTAGAAGTTGAAGAAGCAGCTGTTTTCTCTGGTACAGCTGTTCACCAAGCACACAGTACTGATTCCCATGTCAAGGCAACTTGTGTGATTCAGCATCATGTTCATAGACCACTACCATCTTAAAATAATATTTAGGAAGAAGCAAAGCCTTTTCAGCGAGATATCACTGTCTGTGCCTTTGGGAACGTGAAAGCTGTTCATGCTGTGGATTACCATACAGGCCACATCATCAAAATTGAGTTTTTCTCCAGTGAGGAGGCTTAATCAACCAGTTGAGTAACAGAATTAAAATGGAGGGATACTGCGAATAGAAAAGTACCATTTTTAATGTAACGTAGATGTGATGCACATTGTCATTTTGGTTAAAAGTGCGCTTTTTAACACCTGTAAGCACACCCACCACTGATGGCATTGGGTACTGACATACGTTGGATAACGCTTCTACATCACTGCAGCTAGGTGAGAAGGTAAACCTATAGTAGTCAGCAAAAGCACAGGTTCAGTCCTGGTGAATCAGCAATGTGAAATGCTTAACACAACAGAAATGGCAGTGCATTGAGCTAATATCATACATCTGCTATACTCACACACACACACACACACACACACACGCACTTTCACAAATACTGCTAGGAAAATTATTATATAACGTGATGTGAAACAAAATTTGAACCATATACTGAGCTACTGTTGACAGTTTTTGCAGTTTGACAAAACTGTCATGTTAAAATATTTAAAGGACAATGTCAATACAGGCTATAAAAATGTTTGGTTCAAGTAGTGTCTAGTAAAGCTGCAAGAATACATTGTTTTGGTCAATACAGAGATCAGTTAAATAACATGATCACTCACTGACTTTGAAAACATCATGCCTCTTTTGGACTTTTAAAACCAGTTTAACTTTAAATATGATTCTACTGAAAAACAAATTAAGTATTTCATCTACCTAATTGCAACTGACAGTTCATAGGAAATTACTTAGGCTGTTACTCTATTTTACAAATAAAACTTTACAACTTCAGGTTAACAACAATGCCTGTCATAACCTGAAGAACATGCTCGGCTCACCACGGCACAGCCATATCCATCTCTTTCCCCATGTTTTTAACAGTATGGGCTGCGTACTGTACGGCCATCTTTATGTTTTAGCTTGTACTTAACACTGTGAGCAAAGCTGAAATTCTTACTTCTCTGCACGTTTCTGCTCATTTAGCTCTTATTGACCTTTGATTCGCAGAAGTTTTATTGCTTGTACAGTAATGAGCTTAAGTGTTGTCAACTCAAGTAATATTTCACTTCACCTGATGCAAGCAAAAAATTATCACGCTGTAGAAAGCTAAAGGGGTTAGTTGGATTTATAACAGAAGACCAAACGAGAACATTGTTATGATTGTTATGAACTGTTCAAATGCAAAATTGTCATTGAAAATAAAATTGTATTAATTGCCCAGCCCTAGTACCTAGCACTGTTAATAGCTGTTTGGATATTAGGATATAGCCCACTTGTTGTCTGCAGTGCTTAACCCTGTAAAGCCCAACATATCAAAAAATAGCCAGAACATTCTAATTTTTTGGAACTGAGATGTTTATTAAACCTTTTAACAAAATCCAAAATCTAATTCATGATTTCAAATTCAAGATTCACGATTTATATTTGCCATATATGCATAGACAGACAGTCCAGGCATATAGGAATAGAGGTGCCATATTATTTAGATTATTTCTTTTGTATCACATTTGATACATGGGGCATTTTTGGTGATTTTTTAAAAATTTATTTATTTTTGCTCAGAAACCTCATGTATCAAATATGATACAAATGGTTTTATAGGGTTAAAGCTCTGCAAGCACACACAACCAAATCAGATTTTTTGGAATCACTTTCGACCAAAGAAACACTTTCTCCACATCAAAAAAGGTTCTTGGGATTTGCTTGCACAGCCTAAAATTTTGCTCTATAACCATGTGTTAAGGCCAGCACTGCTAAATGCCATCAGTGCACGACCGTTTAGGGACAGAATAGAAGAGAGTCTCATGGCAGAATGTGCCCTCAAAGCCAATGGCAGCTTCAGAGCCAGACTGACAACATGACTGATTCTACCTGGCATATGACTACACACTCCTACTGTTAGAGAGGCAGAAAGATAGAGAGAGACGGCAGGCAGAGATGAATGATTCGGGTCAGTGTCAGAAAAGGATTGATTTGGATCGGAACCAAAACCACTGATGGCTTATTGAGACAGAGAGATGGATGGAGCGGCACTGAAAGAATGCCTAATAGATTTCAGATGCAGGATGTCAAGCTGCCAGTTGGCTTCCACTGGACAAAGGAGGTCATTTGAGTGGGAGGAGAGATGTATAGTAAGATGGCTAGGTAGCTAAATAGCTCTTACACACACACACACACACATCATTCAGATGTGGACCTGATGCTTTCTAAGCACCACAATATACTGCATAATTAATTAAGTATTATTACATGCCACGATTAGAATGTTACATCTTGTACACAGTGGTAAATGGCAGAGAGGTTCAGAGTGACGATACATGAGAACAGAATCTAATGTGCACTCAAACTCCGGATGCTTTAAGTACATGGTAGGCACCTCATCCCACTGCTCCACAGAGTATAGCATCTGTTGTCTGACTATTGTCTGTTCTGCATTGTGCTCTATAGCAGCCAAATGCCCAGAGCCACTGAACACAACACTGGACACAATAGACGGACACAGAGAGGAGCTGGGTCTGAGCAGAAGGGAACTGTATGCAAACACACCTATAGTACATGTGCTCATACACATTCACACATATACATATTGTACACATTTGTAAACCCACACTCACAGCTGCTGAAAGGCACAAAGCTGGCATAGCAGTGGCAGGCAGAGAGGGCCAGACTTGTATACCAGCTCCAAAGGGGCTGGAAGCGATGCGCACACACACTACATATACACACACATATTTCACACAAAGACAGACCAAAAAAAAAAATCAAGAGCCTATATCCTGAAGGCAGACAGCAGAGAGACAAAGAGACAAAAAGATCACAAAATAAAAGACAGACACTAGAGAGAGGATGACAAAAATAATATCAGCTCCACTGAGAACTACAATCTCTGATGGGAAAGTGTTTTTCCTGTGCAGTGTGTTGACTAATGTAACCCAGACAGGGTCAGGGAAAAAAACGGTGTCAAGTGAATTATATCATGAAAGGAGAGAATGTTGTACTGTCATGGGACGTGTCTGGTCATCCTGTCGGATACAAAGTTAAGGGTAAGTTGAGTAAAGACATTTCTTGCACCTAACAGTTTCTGATGTTTTGGGACAGTGACAGAATATCTGTCTCTCTTTTGCAGCAAAATTGTCAGCAGTGGTAGGTATGAAGTGCCACAGTTGTGCTCCTACAGCTGCAGTTAGATGAACACATTTTAAACAAGAACAAACAACTGCATGGACTCTGATCCAGAGGAGAGGGGTCAGACTGTTGACCTCTACAGACAAATGTGAACTGCATGCATGTATGTGCTGGCAGCCTCAGCATGAAACTCTCACTATGTAGACTGACTTTTATCACCACAGCTGGCAGGCACAAACATGTGTCACACTGCTTGGTTTAACTGTTTGGTATCATTCGTCACCAACTTCTTAACAGACGTGTATCAGGCTGTGACCAACTTGTGAGGTCTTGTTTGTACTGTGAGACTAAGAAATTTACTGAAGAGATAAATTACATCTGTATGTAGAAAGATGCTTCCTCTTCATTGACCTTGGGTGAATGTAGCCTTGGCCAGGAGGAGTTGATATCATCAGGCGGTTCACTGGGTGTTTTGACCCAAAACAGCAACACCCTCCTGTTGGGGTGGTGGCCAAATTGCTGCCCATCTCCACCTCCTGGCTTCCAGTTTAGCTCCTCTCTCCTGTTAGATAACCAACAAAAAGCTCCTTCTGCTGCCTCCTCTGACCTGCAAGCTGCTGACTTCCTCTCCTTTCCTGTAATTTCAGTGGCTGAGAACATTCTCCATACTGACTGTCCTCTGCAGCCAACCTCGACTGGGAATAGCCATGCTGGCCTTCCTTTTCCCCTCACACCCTTCTTCCCAGGGGATTGTAAGTTTGATCATAATGATGTTCTTGGCTTCATCGGACCACAGAACCACATCTGGCCTCAGGGTTGTCTGGACAAACTCAGGGAACTCCAGCTTTCTTCCTGGGTCTACGTTCATATCCTATAATTGGGTCTTTTGCAGTAGAGCATTTCATGTTGTCTTTTCTGCAATGCTTTAAGAATACCATCACTTTGACCACATGACCAAACTGAAAAAATGTTATAGAAAAATTGTAGTGTAACATTGGAGGCTGAACTGAACAGCATTTCTATGGCATCTGCAAACCAAATGGTGTGAGACTGCGTACATACAGTATGTTTGTGTTTGAGGCAGTATGTCTGTGTGTTCTCAGGTATGTACTCAAGTTGAGTGCAAGTGCTACTATACATGCTCATGTAAGGGAAGCTCTGAGAGAGAGCACCAAAGGGTGTGCTGTAAAATGGAATACTGTAAATGTTTACAACAAAAAGTGCGTAGTAAAAGCTGGTAACTCAATTACAGGTTGAATCATTAAAGTAAATGCAATATTACCTGTTGCCTCCGCCCTCTTATTCAGTTGTACCGTAGCTCTATATTTTCATGTATTCTTTTCATGCAATGCTTTAAAACAGATGGGCTAACAAACAAGTGGTGAAAAATGTCAGCATCTCGACATTTCTTGGAAGAGGGCGTCATTAACCTCGGCGACTAAATTAACACTTCCTGCAGCTGCAGTGAGGCTTTTAATGGCTCACTGGAGGAGCGTTAATTGTGATGCAACTTCACTAACTGTCAAATTTTTTTTTACAGTATATATAAAATATATTACAGGCAACATCAGAAATCTTTAACAAATATGGCTCTTTTATTGTTGCCTGTATAACCACACATACAGGTCACCAAAACGTCAACACAGCTTGATGAGGGCATGGACCTATTATATAATATGGTGAGGCAGTGCAGTTAATTTGCAGTGGAAATGCAGAGAAGTCTTTTAAACTGTCATATCACTGAAAGTTCCTTCTGGGGAAAGTCGCAGGAAATTGAAGCGCGACTCACTCTGGTACAAGTGATATTTGTTGGTTTGTATTAAAGTTAACTTTGACATTATAGCCAGAGCTTCATCAGGCTACCAGTCCCCTTGTGAACATTTAAGGCTTCCACTTTATACTGCATATCTGCTTGGAGAATTGGAGACAGCAGTTGTGGAAGTGTGTGTGTGTGTGTGTGTGTGTGTGTGTGTGTGTGTGTGTGAGAGAGAGAGAGAAAGAGAGAGAGTACTGTATTGTGCACATTGGTGGACAAAGTACTCAGATATCTTACGTAAGTAAAAGTAGCAATACAATTGTAAAAATACTCAGTCCTGCATTCAAAATGTTACTTAAGTAAAAGTACAAAAACACACTTAAAGTACTCATTATGCAGAATGGTGCATTTACTATAGCAAATGTGTGTCATGTTGCAAATGGTTGCTTGCATGTATTATTGCATTTCTTGTTGCAGGTAAAGGGGGAGCTACTCTAAACTACTGTAGCTTGTGAGTTTTCCACCAAAGCTCAGTTGTCTCATGATTATACTATAACTTTTAGTATTAATCTTGTTCTGAAAAGTAACAAGTTGCTAAATTTATAAAATAAATGTCAATGAGTAAAAAGTACAATATTTGCCTCTAAAATGCAGTGAGGTCGAAGTATGAGGTAGCACAAAATGAAAAATACTCAAGTATTGACTGCACTGTACTGTATGCATGTGAGAGTCTGTGTGAGTGTAAGAGACTTTGTGTTTGGTGTGTATATCACCAGCCATCACAAAGGGAGACACAAAGACAGACCTTCTCCATCACTTACAGGAAGCATTCACCATCTTATTGTTATCTGCCCTGATAATATCCAGTGTGTAATAATAGTCTGTGTGTGTGTGTGTGTGTGTGTGTGTGTGTGCGCTCGTGCTCGTGTACATGCATGTGTATGTCTGTGTATGTGCATGGTTTCAGCTCTTATGTGTCCTAATCAACCCTTGTACCACTTTAAAATATTGTTTATTTGTTTTATATCATTGTTTTATTTATTTATTATATTTGCTACATTCTAGAAAAGAGGTCAGAGTGCAGGTCTGTGGTGTTCACCTCAGTCTGCCTCTTTTCTGTCTGTCTACATATGTGCTTCCCAGTCTGCCTCTTCATCTGTTCCTTTGTTTATATTCTTTTCTTTTCTCACCGCCTGTCTGCATGTTAGCATCAGCAGCTGTGTGGGGATACGTCTTGCAGGAAATTCTCTGTCTTGACTAGCTGTCTTCTTGCCTGACGGCAGAGAAGCTGAGAGCTGAAGAATCAGGAAACAGCTTTTATCTTGTCTGTCTCCTGCCTTTTGCTCCCAACTCCCAACTCTGCTTCTGAGAGGAGACACAGAGACAGACAGAGGAAGAGGGCGTGGGGTAGGTGTGGGCGGCGTTAAAGGCAGGACAGAGTCGGGAAATGATATTACGCAGAGAAATGAAAGAAAGAGAAAGTGAGACAAAGTTGGTGCCAGAATCTTTCTAAGAAAAGTCTCTTTGTCTTTCTCCCACTCCCTCTTTTTCTGGCTGCTTTGATGTATTCAGACAAGCCCACAGTGCTCTGATGGTGAAACAGGCATGCAGACACAACACAACAGATGAAGAGTGTCAGCTGGTGGTTAGAGGCTCACACATGCTGCTTATCTCTCTCTTTCTCTTTCCCAACTGCATCCTCACTCTCTCGATCCACTCAGTCGTTTCTCTTACTCTCTTTCCTCCTCTCTCTCCCGCCTGGCTTAGTTGTTGGAGTGAACTTGAAATCAGTCATCTTACAAACATTTGATCGCCAATAGGAAATCACCAGACAGGATGTATGGACCGTGCATCTAAACCATTAGCACACAGCTACTCCTGTCTTTCTTCAGGCTGTAAGGACTTTCCATCTTGAGTGACTTTGTAACACTTAAGTTATTATTTAATCATACTGTATGCAGTGCATGAGCACATTAAGTGGAGCTTTCGTTGTTTTGCAAATGGTTGCACGAGTGTATTTATCATACATGGTCACAGTTTATGGCAGGTTGTTAAATATTCACCATATTTTCAGTGGGAGGGATGCTAGCACAGCAACATAAGTTGTTTTTCCATGACAGGATGTTTGCAATTTTGGATATTATAAGTTTCATAATAATGTATGTATGTATATACGTGTGTGTGTGTGTGTGTGTGTGTGTGTGTGTGTATATATATA